TCTAATTTCTTGAGATGTACATTTCCTTCTACACATGACTGTAGCTGCATCCTATCAGTTTCATATCATATTTTTATTATCATTTAAATTCTAATTTTTGTTGTGATTTTTTTTCTCTCATCTATCAGTTATTTCGAAATGTATTACTTAATTTAGAAATATCTGGGTTCATTTCCAGCTTAATTCCACTGAGTTCAGAGAACATACTCTGAATGTTCTCATTCCTGTGAAATGAATTCATTTACAGCCAATATAAGGTCAGTTTTGGTAGACGTTCTCTATGTACTAATAATATGTGCTCTGTCATTGTTGGGTGTACTGTTTTCAAGTCTATTATTTGAGTCAGATTTGTTTATCAGGTTATTGAGAGCATCTCCATTCTTAAAGGTTTGATTTCTGAGTTATTGAGAGGGGTGTGTGAACACAGATTGCTAGGATTATAAAGATTTCTCTGTTTTTGCTTTTCATTTTCTCAGTTTCTACTTTATACATTGTGAAGTTTATGCGCAAATGTAGATTTGTTATATGTTCCTGGAGAACTGTCCCTTCTGTCAATGTGAAATATCTGAAAGTCTATTTTTTCTAATATTGTAAGATTTGTCTGATATATATACCAGCTTTCTTATTGTTACTGCTTGCTTCATAAATCCTTTTCATTCTTTTCTATATTTCTATACCTGTGTTTTGGTATTTCTCTTTGAATAAGCATTTAGTTGGATTTTTTAAATCCAGTCTTAGAATCTTAGTTTTTGTTTGTTTGTGACAGATAATCACGAATAGGCAGCGAGGCAGGCAGAGAGAGAGGGAGAAGCAGGCTCCCCGCCGATCGGAGAGCCCGATGAGGGCTCAGTCCCAGGACCCCAAGACCATGGCCTGAGCCGAAGGCAGGGGCTTAACCCCCTGTGACACACAGGTGCCCCTGCTAAGTGTATTTAATTACATATATATTTTCAACCTCTCAAGACACAATTATTATGTACAATAATACTTACATGTATTCACATATTTACTTTTCTATTGCTTTTCATTCCTTCTTACATTTCCATGTTTCCACCTGGGATTTTCTTATGCCTAGAACATGCTTCTTACTGTGTTTTGTTTTGTTGTGTTTTTTTTAATGTGGGTCTGCTCGTGTCTCAGTCTCTGTTTTTATTTGTATAGAAATACCCATTTCATATTCACTTTTTAAGGATATTTTCTTTCTATTGAATTTTTTGGCAGTTATGTTCTTTCAACACTTCCTGATGTTGGTTCATTGTCTTCTGGCTTCCATTGTTTTTGTTGAAAAGATGGCTGCCAGTCTTATTTTTTTTTCTTCTTTTTTTTTTTTTTGAATTTAATTTTTAAAAAGATTTCATTTATTTATTTGACAGAGAGAGACACAGTAAGAGGGAATACAGCAGGGAGTGGGAGAGGGAGAAGCAGGCTTCCCACAGAGCAGAGAGCCCGATGCAGGGCTCCATCCCAGGACCCCAGGATCATGATCTGAGCTGAAGGCAGATGCTTAACGACTGAGCCACCCTTTTTTTTTTTTTTTTTCTTATTCTTTAAAAGTAACGTATTTGTTTTCTTCTCAAACAACTGTTAAGATTAAACTCAGGTTTCCAGTCGTTTTGTCCTTAGGTGAATTTTCTTTGTATTTATCCTGCTTGGAATCTCTGGTGCTTCTCAAATTCATTTTTCAGCCTTTGTGTTGTTTCAAATAGTATTTTTGCCCCTGTTTCCTTCTCCCATTCCAGAACTCGTCACACATGTGGTCAGTCTCTTCATCATGACTTGTATGTTTCTTTTTTAACTTTTCAGCAACTTTTACCATAGATGTTTTCTGCTTATGTATTTTTCCATTGTACTATTGCTCCCTTCTACTATGTCTAATATACTATTAAATCTATCTGTTCAGTTCTTAATTTCAATTATTATATTCTTTTGTAGAATTTTCATTTGATTCATTGGTTCCAATCTCCTGTTGAAATTCTCATTCTTATCTATATTATTGAACACATTAATCACAGTTATCTCAAAATCCATGTTTGATAACTTGGATATCTGAATTCTGTGGGTCTTTGTGTATTATCTGTTTTATCTGAATTCTGTGGGTCTTTGTGTATTATCTGTTTTTTCTCTTGATTTAATTTCTTATTACTCTGGTACATTTTGATTGAATCTTTGATACTGTATTTGAAGAAGTGAAGAGGCCCTGGGTGATGTTATATTCCTCCAGAGAACATTTGCCTTTTCTTCTGGCAGATAGTGTAAGGGAACCACCTTAATCCAACCAGGGACATGTTAAATGGAGATTGGGTTGTGGTGTTTATATAAAGCTTTGCCTATCTCTTATTTGCCCTTGCTACTAGGTTGTAGCCCTCCAGGAGTGCATACTGAGAGCTTTACATGTTTACTGTGACCACTAACCCCTTCTTTGGAAAATCCTGATCTCAGATTTTGGCTCCATATTTTCTTAAGATTAGAAAATTTTGAAATTCTGCTTAGCTTTGGTCTCTTGTCCTGAGAGGTTTTAGAATTCAGCAAATTCTATAAGGGAAAAAACCAGTAAGTATTGGGATTACCTTTCTGTATTTCCCTTTTCTCCCAAATATTGAACTATCAGGTTGGCCTTGAGTGACATCTGATGCCTTTAGACAGAATTTTTGTTTATCAATTAAGATTTTCCAGTTGTTTTCTGCAGGAATGTCTGCCACAGCTTACTTTATCAGGTCCAGAAATGAGAGTCAGCCCTTAAGGTGTTAACATTTGGCAATCCTGGCATTTAACTGACCATTTTTGTTTTGAGCAACATTAGTCTGAGCTCACCAGGATTTTAGCTTTAAATGCACCTGTTTAACTTTCTTTTCCAGATAAGTAAAGGAATTAGTTTAGTTTGATTTTGTTGATTATAGCTCTTTGTAGATTTTCTGAAGTGTGTAGGAAAAAAAGTAATGAGGAGGCTTGTTCTTGATAGGACTTTCCAGGAATCTTTGCATCATTGCAAAGTAGTATCTAGCTTTTATCATTCATTTCTTAGTACAAAGTCTTAAAGAGACTTAACATAAAAGGCAGATAATCACAAATACATAGGAAAAACTAGTATGCAGTCCAGAACTCTGCTTGTTAATACAGACCTACTCATTCTTGTGCTGTGCAGATATGCATTTCTTAACAATTTGAAGGTTTGTGCCAATCCTGCTTCAAGCAGACCCATTGGTGCCAATTTTCCCGCAGTGTTGGCTCACTTCATGTCTATGTCACATTTTGGTTATTCCGGCAATAGAACTGAAAACCTCTGGAAAGGATTCACTATTCTAGATACCATTGAGAACCTTCATAATTTATGGTCAGAGGTCAAAAAAATCAATATTGGTAGGAGTTTGGAAATTGATTCCAAGGTTCATGGGTGACTTGGAGGGGTGCAAGATTTCAGCGGAGGAAGTCACTGCAGATGTGGTAGAAAGAGCAAGAGAACTAGCATTAGACATGGAGCCTGAGAATGGGACTGAATTGCTGCAAGCTCCTCAAGACAACTTGAACGGATGAGGAGTTGCTTCCTACAGATGAGCAAAGAGAGTTGTTTCTTGGCATGGAATCTACCAAAGAGGATGCCGTGAAGGTTGTTGACATGACAACACAATATTTAGAATAGGGCATAAAGTTAGTTGATAAAGGTGAGGCAGGGTTTGAGAGATTGACTGCAATCTTGAGAGAAGTTGTACTATGGGTAAAATGCTATCAAACAGCACCTCATGCTACAGAGAAATCATTCCTGAAAGGCAAGAGTCCATCGATGCAGCAAATTTCATTACTGTCTTATTTTAAGAAATTGTCACAGCCACCCCAGCCTTCAGCAGCCATCAACACTGAGGCAAGACCCTCCCCTAGCAAAAAGATTTTGCTGAAAGCTCAGATGCTGGTTAGCACTTTTTAGCAATAAAGTACTTTTTAAATTGTGGTATGTAGAGTGTTTTTCTAGACCTAACGCTGTGCTACTGAAAAGACTACAGTATAGTATAAACATAACTTTTACATGCACTGGGAAACCAAAAACTTCATTTGACTCACTTTATGGCGACATTCAATGTATTGCAGCAGTCTGGAACCAAACCTGCAGTCTCTCTGAGGTATGCCTGTGCCATGAAACCAAGGGAGACAATTATTGAGTAAGTGCAGAATTTGTCTGTGGAGAGAGAAATAATTCTGTGAGATAACACGTGGGACCACAGCTTGTATCCTAGTAGCAGAGTCCCATTTCTAGTGACTAGTATACTGTTTTCCCCAGTAAAGGCCTCACCCTCTAAGGTGTACTGGGTATATCCAGGCAGATTTACTGCTTTGTTCCTAATATTCCCTCCTGACATACACATCTTCATGGTGCATTTTCCTCATATAGATGTTACATTATTCATACGGGTTTAAAGACTTCACTTCCTCACCAGTAGTAGGAGGTCCTAATTTTATTAGCAGATATGAGTGTTTTACACAGCCTTTACTGTGGCTTTTTTTTTACCCATCTGAATGAGTGTATAAAACATAAAAATGTTCTTTTATTAGTTATAGGAGTTGAATGACTTTTCTCCCAAGTGTTGACCTCTAGTTTCCCTGGTTTCTTTAGGCTGCATGTAGGTTATTTTAAACACCGTACCACTAAAATGGACAAGGTACATTTTTTTTTTCTTATCTATTAGCATAGTAGGGTCTACGTAGGCTTTTTGAGGCTTAGAAAGTCAGATTAACTTCTCTGTAGTCACAAAGAAAATGAATATTGTACTCAGGATCCCAACCCAGGCCTGTGACTTCTGAACTCAAGCTCCCAAGCTGTCCTGCTTCATACATCTGACATTAAATCAACCCCTTCCTGCTACGTCCTCTGCTCACCTCTCTTGCTCTTTCCTTTCCTCTCTTCCCTTCAAGATGCCTTCAAAACGGCAACCTCTTTGTCAGCATTATAAACAGGCTCATCTTCTTACCGTAACTAGATAAAACATATGTTTATGTTTGATGTCTTTCAGACTGGATGACTATGCCTGTGAGTAAGAACTCTCCTCCCAAGCCGGGTATTCCTGATCAGGACTTGGATCAGTGGGTGATAAAGGAAGGATTCACTAGAGATAGCCACTGGAAATACGATGGCCAGTTGGAATGGAAGCATGGAGGCCAGGAGGTTCTTGCTCACCAGAAGACCCCCTCTGTGCTCCACGCCCAGGCCGGGGATGAACCTGGGAAGCACTGCACTGTGAGCTCATCTTTTGATCAGAGTCAGGGATTTCAATCTAGCAAAAAAGCCTTCGAGTGTCGTGAGTGTGGAAAAGTCTTCACTAAAAGTTCAACCCTTACTAAACATCAGAAAGTTCATACTGAAAAACTGAATGCAAATCAGAAAACTGTTATTAAAGAGAAACGATATGAATGTAGAGAATGTGGGAAAGCCTTTCACCAGAGTACACACCTTATCCACCACCAAAGAATTCACACTGGCGAGAAACCGTACGAATGTAAGGAATGTGGCAAGGCCTTCTCTGTGAGCTCCTCACTCACTTACCATCAGAAAATTCACACCGGAGAGAAACCTTTCGAATGCAACTTATGTGGGAAAGCTTTTATCCGAAACATACACCTTGCCCACCATCATAGAATTCACACTGGAGAGAAGCCTTTTAAATGTAACATATGTGACAAAGCCTTTGTGTGCAGGGCACATCTTACCAAACACCAGAATATTCATAGTGGAGAGAAACCTTATAAATGTAATGAATGTGGAAAAGCCTTTAATCAGAGTACGAGTTTTCTTCAGCATCAAAGAATTCACACTGGAGAGAAGCCCTTTGAATGTAATGAATGTGGAAAGGCCTTCAGGGTGAACTCTTCCCTGACAGAGCATCAGAGAATTCATACTGGAGAGAAACCTTATAAGTGTAGCGAATGTGGGAAAGCTTTCAGGGATAATTCATCCTTCGCTCGACATCGGAAAATTCATACCGGAGAGAAACCTTACAGGTGTGGTTTGTGTGAGAAAGCCTTCAGGGACCAATCAGCCCTAGCCCAACATCAGAGAATTCATACTGGAGAAAAACCTTACACGTGTAATATATGTGAGAAAGCCTTTAGCGACCATTCAGCCCTCACTCAACATAAGAGAATCCACACCAGAGAAAAACCTTACAAATGTAAAATCTGCGGGAAAGCCTTTATTCGAAGCACACACCTTACTCAGCATCAGAGGATTCACACAGGAGAGAAGCCCTATAAATGTAATAAATGTGGGAAAGCTTTCAACCAGACTGCAAACCTCATTCAGCATCAGAGACATCATATTGGAGAAAAGTGATAGGATTATAGTTTATATGGCAGAACTTAGAGACCGAGTGTGTTAATTATTGAATGTAAGTGAATCCATTCCAGAGAATAGCCATGAAAACTTCGGTGAAGATGGAATTTTTATTTACAGAGAGTCAACCTTCACGGTACTGTGGGTTTGAGAATTTAAGAATGGCATGCCCTCCTAGTTCAGAACTGCCTCAGTTGAATAACAATAATGTTTAATTAGTCTGAATTATCAAGTATTATAACCAAAATGAAGCTTCATTAACAGCACAGAAATTAGATGATCACATTTACATTTTGACTATTAAGAGAAGTTATAAAATTGCAAAAGACCAGGGGAAGAAGCAAAGGAACAAAAAAGTAAAAATGGTCAATAAGCATTTCACTCACTTTTTTTTATATAAAAGGGTTTCTACTTTCAGTGGAACCCTTTGTTCTCACCCACCCACCTTCTCAGTGTAGGGAAAGTACAGTCACCGTACATTGGCCCCGGAGTTACCTAAAGTATGTTTCCCACCTTCTGCTTCAAACCATCCTCTCAGATCTCCCTGACTTATGTGTCCACTGGCTGCTTACCCATATTCTCCTTCTGGGACAACTCATTTGAATGGTGTGTCCCTCTTGATTTAGCACCTCCTAACTGGTGACATCGTGTCACTTATCATCACCCCACTTGCCCTTGGGGAATGTAGTGATCTGGCCGCCTACACAGTCCATGATTCTGGTTATCGCAACCAGACCCAGCATTCAGAACTCGGGGACCCCTGGGAGACAGGTTGATCAAACTTCTTGGGTTACCCAGTTCCTCTGGGCCTCACCTTGACTCTTACACTGGGATGGTACCTTAAAGTAGGGACTAGGTTGTGTAGACATTACCTCCAATTGCTCTTCACTGTCCTTACCCCACACACAGCAGTCAGGGGCCTGCTCAGCTTCAGATGTGACAATCCAGCCACCTCACCGTGTTCTAGACCCTCTCCACTTCTGTGATTTGCCATTTCCTAACATGCAGCTGACACAAGTTAGAGCCCCAAGGCTAGTACTCAAAGGCTCTGACCCACTCTTTCCCTTGGCTGGCGGTCCTCTGTGTCCACTGCAAGGATGTATTCCTCGCCCCCAGAATACGAACCGCTGCATCCTGGTCCCCGCACCTCTTCCATCCAATTTTCGGAAGGTCTCGACTGTGTTCACAGAGCAGCTTTGAATTTCTGCTTTTGCATTTGGAAGTGGGCATTTCCTCCCCTCCATCTGGGTGTTCCATTTAAAGACTGTCCCATTCTGACAGTGGTGAGCTATCTGTGGACTAAGTCCACGGGTCAAGACGTGGTCAACAGCATCGTGACGTTCCCTGGCAGGGAACTGTCCATGCCCAAAACTTGTAGCGATATTCTGTTCCTGCACGTACAGTTCCTTCTCCATCTTTGATCCTTCACTGCTCTCAGTAGAAAGCACAGAGATAAAATAACATGTGCTATTTTATACAGTCCCTGGTAGCACTGTCCCCTTCCCCGCCACAAAGGACGGGGAGCCCGCACTACTGCAAACTGGAACAACACACCACATCATGAATATGGAAGAGCAAGTCCACCGTTGTTCTGGGAAACGGAGTGGCAAGTTCTCAGTCCGTGGAGGTGCTCTCCATCAAGTCGGGCAGCCCACTGGCCCCACAGATGCTGCACCTCAGCTCCAAGTTACAGAAGAGGACAGTCTTTTTCCCGGTGGAATTCTAAATTCGCCTTCCATCGAGTACAGGCTGCCAGTGTGGGCAGGCATCTGTGAGGGGGTCAGCAGCAGCTCATGCTTTCTCCCCTACTAAGCTGCAGATGAAGCAGCATTTCGAGGGGTGACTTGGAGCTCTTTGTACCCTGGGCCCCCACATGTTCATCGGCAGCCCTATAGGGCTGGCAGCCCCCAATTCCACAAAAAAACTTGAAAACCTGCTCGCTGCTATAGATACCTGCCTGCAGTACCAGCCACGTGGCCCACCTGCCCCTAACAATCACCCTCTTCCCTTGAATCCCTGTGGGGCGCTGCTCAGCTGAGTTCAATGTTCATTTTGTTTGTGTTTAATGAGAGCTGCTGCCACGGGTCCCATGCCTGCAGTTGAGCCAGAGCCGAGACCAGGTGCCCCCGAGAGCCTCCTTTATCCCGGGGACAGCACCGGCCGCTGTTCCTGCACCGGTATCCATGCAGCCCGAAAGCCCTCAATCTGGGATTGCTCCCTGCCCAGTCAGTGCACAGACTTCCCGGCGCACCCACGACCATGCCGTCGCAAGATAATGAAGGAGCCAGTATCCCCACCCCCTCAACAGGACTAGAGAGACAGAGGAGCCAGAGAAGCAGATCTAGACCCACTTCCCACATGTGATGCACCAGAGCTCTCCTGGTCTACTATGGAATTGCCCAATGGGGAAACTCAGTGGCAGTGGCAGTTCCGCTCTGCCCAGGGGAAGGGTTTGGGAAGAGGATTAGCACCGTAAACCTTGTTAAAAGTCATCATTGGCTGTGGCTCCCATGAATGCCCCCCTGAAACTGCCAGCTCTTGGGGGAAAATAATTGCTCCAGTCTCCCTTTTCACATTCCTCTAATGCTCTCTTGCCAGGTCTTCCCATCTCCAGCTGATAGATTGGGCGCCTGGGTTCTCCCTCGTCACCTGAGCTCACCTCGCTCTGCCACCAGCGTCTGCCCAAGACGTTGCCTTTCTCCATATTCAACAATGGCTTTTAGAATGGCACCTTGACCCTCAGCGGACTGGGGCTTCCCAGTTATAGTACCCGAGCCTCAGAGTCTTGGAACAAAACAACCCTAAACTGCATGCATCTTTGGTTGAGAAAACAACTTAATTCCCTCGAACATGAATTTAGTCCAAGTGCATACCCTCCAGCTGTCTGATTCCTCTTCCCTTTGCACTTTGCCCTCCTCTGCCCTTTACTGGATTAGCCAACAAGGCCATGTGGACACATAAAACACTCCCACCTACAGTGGGAGGAGTCCCAGCTTCTGGCCCCTCCTCAACTCCCGCTAAATATATTTTTGGTAATATTTTTACTTTTAGTATTTTTATACCAGTTTGCAAAGGCAAAAAGAAAATACAAGGTTTGATTGTTTCCCATCACTCATGAACTTCTCAGTGGCGCTAATGACCGTTCTCTGCCAGTGCCAGGATTTGGTCACTCGGGCATGTTCCTCCTCAGCCTGTGTGTTACCCTGTCTACGGCTCATCACTGTTCTTAAAAATTGTTGCCATAGAATGGCCCATCAGTGTGTCTTTCTGAAAATAAATGAGAAAAGTACACAGTGTTCTAAGAGGTACAAGCTGCATTTGTGTTACCTGTTTATCTCTTAAGACCTGGCCAGAAGTAGTGCTTCTAAGTGTTTTTAATCTTTGTATGGCCAGTCTGGTCCTGCCCACAATAAGCATCCAAACCTACCTGGTCCCAGAAACCATAGTTCAGGCTGTGGAATAGAAGAGAGCTGTATCCCCAGTCATCGGGGACAACAGTTAACATTTGAGGATGTCCTGCAGGCCGGGTACTGTTGTAAGCACTCTGCATGTAATAACTCATTTAATCCTCACAATTCTGTGAGACTGTCTCATCCCCACTTGAAAGTTGAACAGAGAGGCTTAAAAGCGTTTCAGAAATTAAACAGCTGGTAACGTGCATGGTCTGAAGACCTGATCCAGGCCCTGTAGCTCTGGGGCACACATGCCTCCCTGCTGCACTCAGCTTCCTCCTTCATGGACACATTCTGGAGGGCCACTTGGCTCCAGACGTTGGAGTGGGGCAGATATGGCTATGGATGGGTGGGTGGGGGGTCCCCAGCCTTGCGACCATGTTGCAGGCATGGCTTTCTGGTACCCACATCCTCCACAAAAAGACCTTTCCTCGGCCCTGGGTTGGCAAGGTGGAAAGGGTTCAGGTGCTCCTCTAGCCTGAGAGTACAAGAACCATGGGTTCGCAAACGCCTATCAGCCCTTGGATATCTCGCGGGCACGGCCTGATAACCATAGCAGGTCCTGAACGTGGCCCTAGGAGAGTAATTACTACGAGTGCCCTTCTTGAGGTTTTCCAAAAGCAGAGAGGTGGGGCATCTGGGTGGCTCAGTTGGTTAAGCATCTGCCTTCAGCTCAGGTCATAATCCTGGAGACCCAGGACTGATCCCTGCATCTGGCTCCCTGCTCAGCGGGGAGTCTGCTTCTCCCTCTGGCCCTCACTCTGCTCCTCCATGCTCTCTTTCTCTCTCTCAAGTAAATAAAATCTTAAAACACAGAGAGAGAGAGAGAGAGAGAGAGAGAAAGTCAAAGCTGGTAGCTAGAGAAACAGCAACAGCCGAGCATGGTACATACACAGAGGGTATGTACACATCTAAGTATTGCTTTCATGGGACTTAAATACGGAAGACAGGTATTGCAAAACGAAACACAAATAATGAGCAAAATAACTGTAGTTTGTGAGAGATGTGTTTACACAGATGGGGTACCACAGAAGAGAGTGTGAGAGGCCCAGCTGTAGATTGTGTGGTCACACTGGGCTTCACTAGAATTGACAACAGACGCAAAGCCCAGTTCAGTGAGACAGGGAAAGCGGTTCGGACACACAAGGCAGGAACAGTGCAGGCTGGGTAAGTGCCATTAAAAAGGCAGTGGAGCCCAGAGTCAGCACTGGTGTTAGCAGCGTGAGCTTCCACAGGAAGAGGCAGGACCACAGCCCAACCAGCCCCTGCAGTGATCTTGGCTGGTGCTCTAAACACAAGCCATTGCCAGGGTCAGGTTTTGTGCTTCAAACTCTCAAGCTACAAGTGGTTGCTATTGATGAATAGATTTTACCAGAGCATTGGGGGGCCTGGGTGGCTCAGTTGTTGAGCCTTTGGCTCAGGTCATGATCCCAGGATCCTGGGATCAAGCCCCACAAGGACTCCCTGCTCAGTGGGAAGCCTGCTTCTCCCTCTCCCACTCCCCCTGCTTGTGTTCCCTCTCTTGCTCTGTCTCTCTCTGTCAAATAAATAAAATCTTTTAATTTTTTTCTTTTTTTACCAGAGCACAAATACTGGGAAATTTTCCATTTAGTTTGTTCTTTCCCAATTAATTTTCCTTCCAGTGAATAAGAAAATACCAAATTTAGAAGAATTAAAATGCGGAAACTTAAAGACCACGTAAGTTTCAATTGCTAATTTATTTCAGCAATATACTTCAACCAAGGTACAGCATTGCTCACTGTTAGCTAATACTATCATTTCTAGCCATTGTGATGGGGGGAAAATGGGGCTATAAATATTTGCAGGCAAGGATATACCAGATTCCCCCTGGTGCATTGCCTCAGGTTCTTCACCAATCATTCTGGTCCCCTCTGGGCCACCTCCCATTCCAGCCACCAGTGACTTTGTCCATGCCACAGATCCAGCCACAGGACTCACCTGTGTAAACCCTTCCGTGGCTCCTCCAGGGCCAACCATGGGAAGCAAAACCTTCAAGACCCTTCACAGCCAACCCATATAGAATTCATATTTTTATGAGGGAAATACAGCACAGCTTTCTCTAGCTTTCCCTACAGCTTTCTCTGTTTTCAAGAAGGAATGTTATTTGGGAGGTCTGAGATGGGGTCTTGGGATTGGTCACCTGAGGGGTTTATGTAATGAGTGGGGTCTGTTTGTGCATTGACTGGTAGGACTGGGAGGGTGGATGCTGGGAAATGGGGTCAATGATGTGGGCATCTGCAGGGATCAAGGTGACTCTGGCTGTCAGCGACTGTGGGAGAGGCTAATTATCTTGGCCAAGGTCACTAACTAGCATGGCAGAGCTGCCATTGATCTCAAGAAGTCTTAACCTTGACATTATACAATTTCTAGATATGAAAGCTGACTGAAGGAAGTCTACAGTGTCAGGGGCAAGACAAAGTCTGTGGCCACTGGAAATTTCCCTGTCTGGCAGATCGGTATGGGGAAAAAAAAAAAAAACTCAGAAGTTGATAGTATGGGTAAGTTCAACATTCAAGAGCCCTGGTAGAATAAGCTAATAATACTTCAAATTGGCCAGATTATATCAGTGAACAGCATGTGGGGCCAGACCCATGTGTCCTTCCTGCTATTTCCGTTTCTGAGTCTGCATGCAAATATAAGAATGA